TCCAAGTCTAAAAGAAACCATTTCCCATAGGCCAAGCCACCATTTCCCACGCCGACTGCACACCCGGTCTTCGTTCGCCCGGTTCGCCTGTGGAAGCTGGGCTCGTGCATGGCCAAAGGCACATTGTTGTACTCCTCAGTGAAGGGAGCGCATCAAAATCAAACAAACTTCTTCGGTTCGCCTAGGTTGGAGAGGCAAATTGCCCATTGCTATTAAAAGGTTGGAGGCCATTGCTATTAGGTTGGAGGTGGGAACCCGCAGCTCGGTTGGCCATCGAATGCGGTACGGACGGATCTGCTATAGCCCTGTAGATGGAATGTAGATCGAACATACCCAGGGGCTGCAAACCTGAACTCTTTATTTTGCAAGAAAGCAAATGAGAACCATATAGTGTCATCGTTGGGGTCAGCAAGCCTGAACCTCAAGAAACACGGTCCTTTTTCAAGTGTTGGTTCCGGTTTGAAAGACACACATTCTGCTGCCCTCATAAGAATCTTGAGGCGCTTGAGGGACTCATTTAGAGAAGTCTTCCTTCAAGGAACGCATGGAACACACTGTTTTTCTGGACCAAACATGACCAAACCAAACGAGCTACCAAACCTGGATTCTATGTTGCTGAAACAAAAGGTAAATTCCTGAAAAACCTCCAACCGTTGCAGTCTTGACCGTTGCAGACTTTGACAGTCGTGTCAGTGCTGGATGATATCCGCCGACTGCCCACTTCTGCTCCAAACATGTCAATGTCACATCCAGATGTGTTCACCTTCCACGACGGAACATCGGGTTGAGTTCACCGGACCAACTCCAAAAGAAACACACCCAGCTTCTTCAGTTCGTGACCTTTTGAAGGTTCCTTTGCGTGACCCGAAGCGTCGGCCTCCGGCGAGCCGGATTTCGGCCGCTGGAGGCGGAAGGTGGTTGAATGATGTCAGAAGACGCAGGCACTGAGCCGGGCCGGGAGTTCCGGCGGCCAACGAGGCTGGATCCATTTTGGGAACTTCCAACGAGTGATTTGGTCGTCGTGTAGATACTCCAGCACCCAGAACTTCACACAACTGCAAGCACCCTGATCTGTTTGTCTGGTGCTGCAGGATGTCCTATCTCAAGCTGCAAACACTCCGACAGCAACTGGCACAGCGACCTCAAAGCCTTAGTCTGATCCCCTGCCCAAACGAAAGAGCATCACTTCGGAGTCGCCAACACGCCTTCGACGCCACGAGTTCGCACGAGTTCGCACGGGACACGCTCCTGAACCCGGACACCGCCCGTCCGCTGAGCCGCTCGTCTAACGCACCCAACGATTTACCCCAGGCACGACTAATGGGACGACTGAAATGGCATATTCTTGCATTGCTTGAAGCTGAGATGTGGAACACTGGACATTGAGAGATTCCCACTTTACATCTTCGTTCACAGCCCTTTTAGGTGAAATCAACTCAGCAGAATAGCAGAAGATAGCAGAAGTCTGTCTGTTTAGTTTCGGTGGACCTGTCTGAACTTCGGTGGAACAACAGGACAGATCAGGACAGATCCCGTCGACAAACATCGGCGGGTTTTTCAAAGGTCTCGCAGCGAGGACGCGAATCAACGAATTCAGCAGCTGAATTTCATGCCACCTTTGAAGACCGAAGGTGATGTGGAAAGACGAGGCTGGTAAGCTGCATCGTCTTTCCAATTGTGGAGTGCTGTGTACAACTGTGACGTGGAGGTCTACGAAGCAGAAGCCAATAGCAAGAATGCTAGTAATAAGGCCAGGAGCTACTAGTAGCTATTTGCTCCTAGTAGCGATGCCC